GGACACACTTAGCTGGCTGCTAAATGCATTTTAATTCATGCAGGTGGCTCGTGGATAGGGGACAACTCATCTGCAGCCTACAAGCTGGTGGGAGAGGGAGGTGTTGCACGACTTGGTGGCTGGAGGCAATTTTTGGGCTGCCATGGGAGGGTGGCTGAGGAGGCACAGGTGCTTGTGTGCCATGTCTGCCAGGAGGGTTGGCAGGGAAAGGCCAGAAGATTCCTCAAGGCACCACCAAGCTCACTCTGCCTCAGCACAGCAGCATCCCGGGAGGACTTCTGGAGAGGGCATGGTGACCTTCCCAGTGTTTGGTCACCCTTAGAATGAGATTTCCTAAATGTCAAGGTGGCATTTCTGTTGTTTCTGATTGTAAAAACCAGTACAAGTTGTCCATATTTTTCTCCTCTGGGCTGACCAGCCCCAGTTCCTTCAGTCACCCTGCAGACCGTGCCTTCCTGCATAGCTGCTGTCCACCCTGTGCCTTGCTCCTTGCACAATGCTGAGCCTGGACATCTTGTTTGTGCTGTGCCCCACATCTCATCAGCACTATGTGCTCTTGTTTTTGCCTTCACAAATTACTTTGCCTGTGACAACATGAAGCAATTAGCCTATAACTTGGCTTGCAACTCACTTCTCTTCTCTGGAGCTGCTGGACTCTGCCCTTCACTGGTATAGCTAGTCCTTCTCCTAGTCCTTTGCCTCCTATTGAGTTTCATCCTGTTTTTCTTTTTTTGCAGCCCTTCTCTAGTCTGCTGAGAGACCAGTCAGTTCTTTGCCAGCACATGTTTGCATCTCCTCTAGCTTCCCATCTTACAGCTGCAGAAAACACTATTGCAGTTGTCAGAGGTGTTTGTGGAAATACGGACTAAACCTGGATCCACCACAGGTCCCCAGGAGACCTTGCTCAATCCAACCTCTGAGACCTCTCAGAGTGAGTTGTCCATGCAGTTTTGTGCCCGTGCCTAGAGGTTCCCCACCACCATGTTTCCCAAGCTGGCTTCTGACACTTGGAGACACCTAAAAAGCTAAGCTGAGACCCTTGGAGCCCACAGGTCTGTGGCTCTGCTGGAGGAAAATAGGTTGATCTTGGTAGGTCCTTGCTGGCTGCAGCCCAGCATGGGTTTGTTTCTGGAGTATTTGTTCCAGGATTTTTCAGGAATCCATGTCAAGAGGCTGAGTTGGATGTGTGGATCCCGCTCCAGTCCTCTGCTCCCATCATTACTCCCTTTCCCATCTGGACACAAGGACAGGTGCAGCTGGCCCCATGTGTTGGCCATGCTGATGTGTACCCAACATCTCCTTTCCTACCTCACCTCCTTGCCAAATGCAGAAGGAGACAAACCAGATAAAGAAGCTGATCTTTGTGGTTTCCCCGATATGTGGGTTTTGCAGCCCTTGAGGTCAGTCCTGGAGACTTCCCAGCATGGAGATGCCTTGGGGCAGAGGCACCACTCGCCTCCATCTCCAGGGTAAAGTCCCCTCCTTGCTTTCTCCCAGAGCCAACTCTAGACTTTTTTATTAATATTCCAGGCACACAAGCCATCTCATCAAGTCTGCTGTGCCAATTAAGTCGTAATCACACCATAATGAAGCAGTTGCTGAGCTCATGCTGAAGACCTTCTCTAGCTTATTCCTCTCCCTCCTCGCTGGTTCTTGGCAGTGTTGCTAGGGACAGAAGGGGACATCAAAGACACATTGGTGATTTTTAAAATTTAATTTAAAATTGCATTATTATTAATAATATTTATTATTTCAGCAGAATTAAGGCTCGCTCTGAGGTTTTTCTGAAAGCTTGACCACTGGCTCCTCTGAAAGCATCTCTCCTTTGGCAGACCCTGTGGCACTTCCCGTTGTGCACCTGGCTCCTCTGGCACCATCTCTGCTTCTCCCCATCCCCTTATCCCCTCTGTACCTACAAAGTTTCCAGCACTTAGCTGTCACTTGTTAGTCACTCAACTGTCAGTCATCCCAGCTGTTGATCCAGTACTTCTGGGCACTCTTGGCATTTTCAGGTGGGATGGAGGTGCTACGTTTGCCTAGACTCCTGATTTTCCACATGCCCTTGGGCTCTGAGAAGGATGAGGTCAGGCTGGAGGGATTTGCAAGCCTACTGGTATTGCAGAGCTTTCCTCTTACTCCCCTGTAGCTGATGCTATAGAAACATCCAAACCCAGTGTTTCTCTCTCTCCTATTTTGGCAGTGCAGTAGGAATCAGGGAAGCTTTATGCTTATTAGGAGCTTCTGTCTCCTGCATGAGTTTTCTGGGGTGTATAAATGTCTCTCTTTCTCCTCCTCTTCTGCCTCTTGTGTTTGCAATAACCACAGATGCTGTCGGAAGGAAACAGCCGTTCTCAACAGGGAAAAGGGATAAAAATATCAGAGCAGCCTTGGATGGGAGCTGCAGGAGCAGGCTGAGCTCCCAGCCAGTGCTGGAGAGGGTGAAGGTCTGTGCTGGGAACTGGGAGAGCCATATGCCTCGATGATGGAGGGAGAAAGGTGATTTGCTTGTGGGATTACCCAGCAAACATTCTGTGTGTGCCCCCTTCTGTGTGTCCTGCTGGGGTGGTATCTCTGGGTTTGTGGGACACCAGCCTGGGGCTCTTCCTTTTCTCTCTGTGACAGAAGAAACCATCTGGACCTCTCCTCAGGGCAGGCTTTGATCTGCTGGGACAGATGCATCTCAGATACATCACTTGGTAGGGACAGGCAGGAGTTCCCCTCGGGAACTCCCTGGGACATCCTTGTCTGCCTCTACCTCATCTGCAGTGGGACCAAAGCAGAATGGATACAGCTCCTGCAGGCACGTGTGGCTCGTGCAGCTACTGCCCCTTTCTGGCAGATGTAGAGACAATTTTTCTTGCGAAGTGCCTTGACCCTGGATCTTCTTGGGCTCCAGGGACCAAAGCAGGGCTCCCTCCTGCTGCAGGCTGCTCCAGCACAGGGATGGATGCTGGGGAGCCAGCGAGGCAAAGCACTGGCAGCAGTGGGCAGCTGGCACTGACTCCAAGCACAGATCCTGGCATGGGCAAAGGGGTGTCTGCCTGGGTCTCTAGTCTTAGCAATGCTGGTTTCTTTAGTATTTATGACAAGCATGGAGATCCCTGTGGTTTGGAACTCACAGGACCTCCTTGGCTGTGCAGCCACATCCAGGCAGGGGCTCAGGCTTGTACTTGAAGGGGCTTTTGGGGGAGTCGAACTGGGAGCTGCTTGTTGCTGCCTGGGTTAGGAGATGCTCCTTGTTGGGGGGTCAGCACCACCAAGCTCAATCTCGTGGCTGTTGCCTTCATAGGTAGTGTGTCCCAGGTGAGATGGGGAGCTCTGCACCAGTGATGCTTTCTGAGTGGGCAAGTTGAGCCTTTGACATTGGCTGTGGACTGCCCTGTCAGCATCTGCTGTCACCTCCTGGTAGGATGCTGCAGACCGGTGGCTGATGATCAGGGAGGGGACATGAGGAGGAAGGTGGCTCCCCAAAATGCTTCCTAAAAGCCACAACCAAAGCCCCACCAGCTCTGGAGCAAAACCCTGGGGTTGTTGCCTTTCCCTTCTCCAGGAACTCACCTTCAGACCAGTGCCAGTTTGAAACCATGCTGGTCTGAATGGCGTGAAGTAGCAGCAGGGGAGGTTAGGTGATATTAGGAAGAATTTCTATACTGAAAGAGTGATCAGGCACTGGAACAGCCTGCCCAGGGAGGTGGTTGAGACACCATCCTTGGAGGTATTCAAGAAACATGTAGATGAGGAACTTCAGGGCATGCTCTAGTGGCTGAGATTTTAAGAGTGGGTTTTCGGGTTTTTCTGTGGGTGTTTTCTGGTGGGGTGTGTGTGGTTGCTTGTGTTTGTTTGGGGTTGGGTTTTTTTTGCACTGATGGTTGGACTCTGTGATTTCAAAGGTCCTTTCCAACCACAATGATTTGGTGATTCTGTAGTCCTTGGCCACTTCGGGAGCAGCATCCTTACCATATGTCACAAGCCTGGGACATCACCACCTGTCAGGACATTGCCAGCCACCCCTGTATGCAAACCCTGCCGCTCTGTAAAGCAAATAAACTTGTCACTTGAGCTCCCTCCGCCTGCACTGGCCAAGCCAGCATCTAAATTTGGGTGATTATGTTCACCCAGGCCAAGTATCAAGTTCTCTGGATCACATGCATGCCCAGCTACTCTTGAACTCTGACGCCTCAGGGGGACGCAGCTTTTTGCTCTCAGCTCTTTGGGTTTTATATTATTTTTATTATAATTTTTTTATCACCAGTGATATTCTTTTTTTTTTTTTTTTTTTAGTTTTTTAAGTGATCAGGCACTGGAACAGCCTGCCCAGGGAGGTGGTTGAGACACCATCCTTGGAGGTATTCAAGAAACATGTAGATGAGGAACTTCAGGGCATGCTCTAGTGGCTGAGATTTTAAGAGTGGGTTTTCGGGTTTTTCTGTGGGTGTTTTCTGGTGGGGTGTGTGTGGTTGCTTGTGTTTGTTTGGGGTTGGGTTTTTTTTGCACTGATGGTTGGACTCTGTGATTTCAAAGGTCCTTTCCAACCACAATGATTTGGTGATTCTGTAGTCCTTGGCCACTTCGGGAGCAGCATCCTTACCATATGTCACAAGCCTGGGACATCACCACCTGTCAGGACATTGCCAAACACCCCTGTATGCAAACCCTGCCGCTCTGTAAAGCAAATAAACTTGTCACTTGAGCTCCCTCCGCCTGCACTGGCCAAGCCAGCATCTAAATTTGGGTGATTATGTTCACCCAGGCCAAGTATCAAGTTCTCTGGATCACATGCATGCCCAGCTACTCTTGAACTCTGACGCCTCAGGGGGACGCAGCTTTTTGCTCTCAGCTCTTTGGGTTTTATATTATTTTTATTATAATTTTTTTATCACCAGTGATATTCTTTTTTTTTTTTTTTTTTAGTTTTTTAATTTCTGCCCTGCCAAGTTGCTCCCTTCTCTGGCCGGTCCCTGAGAGCCCAGCACCTGCTTTGACTGTTCAGTCTGATCACAATGTTTCTGGTTCTTTCAGCCACCACAGAATTAAGGGACTTCTTTGCCAAAGCCCGGAACGGTTCAGTTCGGCTCATCAAGGTCATCATTGAGGATGGTAAGTCCTGTTCTTAAGTGCTTTGATTTCCACCATGTTGGTTCTGTTTCACCACTCCTCCTTCCCTCTTTGTTGCTGCAGTGCCAGCTTGTTTTTACAGAAACCCTGAGGAAAATTCCACTGGGGCTCCTTGGCAAGCAACAGTCTGGAGCTTAAGTACAAGCCCAAAACTTGGTGCTGGTGAACGGCTGTTGGAGCCCTGAGGTGGCTCCAGGGGGTAACAGCAACTTTGCTGGTGGACCAGCGCCAGTGTCTGGGATCAGTGCTGGGCTCTGGGTGGCTTTTCCTGTTGCTGTGTTGGATTTGGTTACTGGGAGCTCTGTGAGAAGATCCTGTTGGTGCTGTGGGACCTTAGTCAGGGGCGATGGGCAGCGTCTTGCTCCTTAGGTGTGGCATCTCCAGGCAAGGAGTTGGGGGAGCGGGGACGGGGGTGCTCCTCAGTATGGGATTGCATCCCACGAGGGATGCTACGCTCTGAAACCCATCCCAGCCCCTCCTTCTGTGCCTGGGGCTGCCCCATTTGCCAGCTGGCACCAACCTGCCTGTGTTTGCCCCACCAAGAGGTGCCTTTGGGTGGCCTCCACGTCTATCAGACCAGCGAGTGGAGCAAAGCACTGATTGCACATCCCAGCAGGGAGCCTCCATGGTGTAGGTTTTCCATCACCTTGGCCTCATACAATTGCATATGAATGACTTTTTTTCTCACAGTAGCAGGGACATTAATGCCCTTGCCAAGCTGCTGTCACCACCTCCCTCGGGTGGGGTTCCAGGACCACAGTGAAAACACCAAGGTGGATGTGAGAAGCCTGTGGTTGTGAGGAGTCTGTGTCAGCCTTTGGAGGGGCTGTGAGGCCCCACGGAGAAAGCAGCACAACTTGGAATGTGTGGGACACAACAGCAGGGCCACTGCAAGGCTTGATGGTGTTGGTTTGTCCCTGGCAAAATGCAACATCCACAAGGCTTCTTTGGGGCATCTTTGACAAATTTTGCTCTCTTGTCTCCTTCTGCTTTTAAAAAGTAGGAATCACATTTGTGTTAGAGTAAGTTATGATGTCCAAAGTGTTTTTAGATGCCCCATTCCTCACCATCAGTGGGTCTGTAGACAAGGTTGGCTTGTGGGCTCCCCTGTTGGGTGTGGGTTTTTTGCCTGTAGGTGATGTTGGGCAGGGAGCTATGCAGACTGACTGCTTCCACAGTGTCCCCCCACCCAGCACCCACCTCGGCTTCAGGCAGGGCTGCCTGGTACCAGCCCCTGGCAATGCAGCCCCTCGGCTGAGGGCTGGGGGCACCTTGAGGGCCCAGGACTCTCCCAACTGCAATTCCTCTTGGGGAAGCAGAGCTCCAGAAATGGAGCCTGAAATAGCTGGTGCTGACAATGATGCTTTGCTGAAGGGCAGCTGCTCTGGGTTTCCCTTGCTCAGTGCTTCCCAGGGAGGAAGAGTTTGGCTCTGAACGAGTTGAGCTGAACTGTGAAGAGCCGGGTGGGAGGCAGGGGGATGAGCGGCTCCTCCAGCCCAGGGGGAAGCTGGAGGCTGCTGACTCATGGTGGCACAGCTGGGGTCTGGCTTGGGTGCAGGCTAGGAATAGCCTGGAATGACTTGGCACCCATTGCCTTGTGTGTGAGGTGTTGGGAGGTTTGGCAGACAGACACACCTGGAGCTGCCAGTGGGTTTGGCCAGGCAGAATTCCTTGCAGTCTCTTCCGGATCCCAGGTCCTTGCAATGCACAGATCCATTCACAGGGCTTGATGCTTAGTTTAGAGCTATATTGAGGTTTTCACACTTCTCTTCCTCAAAACAGGTGGGTTTGCTGAAGGTTTTTCAGCCTTTTTTCTCTGTTGTCCCTGTTATTGTACCAGTAGCATCTGCCCCTCGTGCACAAATAACTATGGGTTGAGCCTGTGATGGCAGGTGCTGTGGCAATGGGCTGCTGCTGGGGGGGATGCTCTGCTCAGATGGAAAGGGGAAGTGAGAGTAATTCATCCCAAGCCCTTTATTCCTCAGCAGTTTTCCTTAAGCTTTCCTGCCCTGGGATTCAGAATTGCTGAGCTGGATGGGCTGGGAGGGCAAGGGCTGTTCCCCAGCCAAGGGGCCTCATGGGTGGAGGTCCAAGCAGGGCACATCCCAGGCTGAGCATCCCTTGAGTGCCAGCTGTCTGAGGCCCTGACTTATGGTTTAGCACCCCTAGATTTTCATGCATCTTCTTCTGAGTCCTGACATCTCTCCCCAGACCATTCTGCATCTGAAAATAGAATAAAAATACAGGCTGTTCTCCAGCAATTAATACTGTTTGTCTCCAGCACTGGTGCTTTTCCATCCAGCCATCCCAAAGCTTGGTTTGACCCTCATGGGGTGGTTTTCATGTTCATAGGATGCCTGCACCAGTGTTTAAAACCCAGCTGAGCAATGCCCAGTTCACAGGGCTCCCAGCCCCAGCACCACTTGAGTAGCAGCTTAAAAAAAAAAAAGCCCTCCAGATACCTGAGACACTGCCATGTGGGTGAAATATGTAGGTCTCTTCCAGAGACTACGGCTCTCCTGGAAGCATGGTCCCCTCAAGGCTGGGGTCTCTGGGACATCCCTGGTTCCTGTAGACACAGGCTTTGGATACCAGCTCTGATTTTGACCCTTCTGAGGTTATAGGGAATACAATGAGAGCAGCTTTAGCTCATCATCCTGGCTTTTGCTATGGGACCTTTATTTTTCTCAGCACCCCAAGTCTAGATGGTTCCTTGTGTCCCTGGTGGGACATTCTAGTGCCCCTAGAGTTTGTCCAGGTAGGATGGAGGAGGTCTCACATTCCTCCATGAGTAAGGAGGGGTGGTTGGGGACTACACTGCTCCTGGAGGGAGCAGAGTGGAAGAAGACTGTAGAGGGTCACCTGAGAGAAGACCTTGGTGGTGAGGAGCAGGGCAAGGGAGAAGATGGGTGACAGGAAGCAATGGGATGCTGGCAACAGCCACAGTCCCAATGGCACCTCCCATGGACCACTCCTGCATGTGGCTCCATATTGTCATTGTTTCCCTGCAGGACGGCATCACTGTTGTTGCTGGAGCTGCGGAGAGCCCTTGGACAAACCACCACGCAGTCCTGCAAGGTGAGCCTTGCCTTCATCTAACACCACCTTTTCCACCTTCTCCTTCCAGAACAGCTCGTGCTGGGAGCCCACAGGGAGCCGTCCCGGCGCTGGGACGCTGACTATGATGCCTTGGTGCTACCTCTGCTGGATGAGCAGCAGCCCTGCTACGTGCTGTACCGCCTGGACAGCCAGAACGCCCAGGGCTACGAGTGGCTCTTCATCTCCTGGTCCCCTGACAGCTCCCTGGTGAGCACCACAGCCAGCTGGGGCACCCCAGCATGGGGACACAGAGGTGGAGGGGGGAGGAGATGCTGGCCAAGGTGACTGCACCGGGGATGAGGAGGAGTGTTTGCACCCTCCATCACCGAGCCTGTGTTAAGAAGAAATGGAGACCACAGTGGGGAAAGGAGGATTCTTTAAGACACATAAGAGACACTAGGACTGTGTCCCTGTCCTCTCTACAGCGCAATGTGAGGAGGTGGAGGGGCTGGGATGTAGAAGGGGCATTGGTAAGGACCACAGGGCCTGGCACACATACCTATATATACATATTTGTTATATATTTTACATAATCTATATGCTACTTAGACTTACTGCCATGTTAACATGTGCACTTGTCATATATATAAGTAGTAGTGTTGTATACAACAAATATATGTTGTTATTATTATATATTGTTTTCAATATTGTAACATGCATATATAAAAAAGACCCTCTGCATTTGTTGAGATATATGTAACATATATATATTATTATATATAAGCACATTTATGCATATACACACATATATACAATTACAACAATGTATGTAATTTTGTATGTGTACACACATTTGTGTGTGTATGTACGTGTGTATATATTACAATATTATACATTTTTAATTTATGTCTCTCAACAAACTGGAGGGTCCTGTTGCAAAAGGCCAGTGCCCCAAGGGGCACTTGCCAAAACCCTTCCCTGCACTTCACAGATGGACGGTGCAAGAGCAGTGCCAAAAGGCTAAAGTCCCTTTTAGGTGATTCTGGTGGTATTTGTGCCTCCTCTGACCCCGGGGTTGGGTGAGAAATGATATGATGGAGCTCAGGGACAGGAAAGTGAAGCACAGAATAAACCAGGGGCTTGCAGGCGGCGCTTGGCACAGCTGTCAGTAGCACTGGTGGGATTTCCTGGCTGCTTCCCATGTGGAGATGCTGCAGTTGGAGACAAGCCTGGAGAAAAATGAGTTGGTTGCTGCCAGGGAGGGCTGAGGTTTGTGGGGCCGGTGGTGGGATGGTGGCCCTGCAGGATGCTCCTCTCTGGCAGCTCTTGCCACTCCCTCCTCGCGCAGGTGCGGCTGAAGATGCTCTACGCTGCCACCCGGGCCACGGTGAAGAAGGAGTTTGGTGGGGGCCACATAAAGGACGAGATGTTTGGAACGGTGAAGGTACAGTGGTGGTTCCTGGGCAGCCCTTTGGGTTCCACCCTGAGCTTCAGCAGACAACCCTGAGCTTGGCACCGAGGCCAGGCGGGATGTGGGACACGGGTGTGTGGGGGGACAGCAGGGAGGTTTGTTCCTCCCCACGCTGTTTGAGTCCTGGGTGGCTGCTGCCTCCCCCTCCTGCTGGTGTGGCTGCGATTGGTCTCTGATGGAGACTGTGGAAGAGGTGGGAGGAAGGCTCAGAAGACATCCAGAGCTTTACTGCGTGGGAAAAGAAGCGCCAGGCGGTGGCAGTGTCTCTCCAGCAGAGATGGCCGGTCATCCCGCTGCGCTTGGAAGGAGGTTTCTCCTCTTCCACGGGCTTTTCTGAGGAGCAGCTGCACAGCCAGGACCTGCTGGGCATCAGCCCTGCTCTGGGACTGCTGCTGTGATGGGAGCCAGCGACCATCCCGACTGCTGCCCCTCTCCCCTGCTCCCTGGTCTCTGCCTTTCCCTCTCCCTTTGGTGCTCACGAGCTCTGTCCATCAGCCAGAGGAGCCATCCTGCCACAGCCACGGGGGGCTGGGAGGGACAGCCTGGTCTCTACGGGCACGGACAGTCCTGGGCACTGGTTAAAATAGTGTGGGGTTTGCACGGAGGCATCTGATAGCACTGCTGGGGTTGGTCTTCCTGGTAAGAAGGAGGGCTTGAGACCCCCTGGGTTGCTCAGACACAGCCTCAAGGCTGAGGGTGCATCCATCCCCACGGGGATAACTCCCCCTGACGCTGCCCTGTCCCTGTGTCTGCAGGAGGACGTGTCCCTCAGCGGTTACCAGAAGCACGTGTCCTCCTGCTCCGCCCCGGCCCCGCTGACCGCAGCCGAGCAGGAGCTCCAGCAGATCCGCATCAACGAGGTGGGTGTGCGGGGAGCAGGGAGAAGGAGCCCGAGACCCTTGGGGCACGCAGGGATGTGGGATGCAGGGAAGTTTCTGCTGTTAGAGCTGTGGGAGCCATGGTCCCAGCACCCAGCTCAAAGGGGTGGCTCCTTTTCACTGCTCTGTTCTACCCCTTCCTGCCCTGGCCGCAGTGCCCTGAGCAGCCTCACAGCCACATTGATGGTGTAAAGAGGAATTTAGAGATTTTTAATCTTTTTTTCCCTCCCTAGGACGTGAGCTCGGAGCTGTGTTTGGTCGTTGTCTCCCTTTGGTGCTCACGAGCTCTGTCCATCAGCCAGAGGAGCCATCCTGCCACAGCCACGGGGGGCTGGGAGGGACAGCCTGGTCTCTACGGGCACGGACAGTCCTGGGCACTGGTTAAAATAGTGTGGGGTTTGCACGGAGGCATCTGATAGCACTGCTGGGGTTGGTCTTCCTGGTAAGAAGGAGGGCTTGAGACCCCCTGGGTTGCTCAGACACAGCCTCAAGGCTGAGGGTGCATCCATCCCCACGGGGATAACTCCCCCTGACGCGGCCCGGTCCCTGTGTCTGCAGGAGGACGTGTCCCTCAGCGGTTACCAGAAGCACGTGTCCTCCTGCTCCGCCCCGGCCCCGCTGACCGCAGCCGAGCAGGAGCTCCAGCAGATCCGCATCAACGAGGTGGGTGTGCGGGGAGCAGGGAGAAGGAGCCCGAGACCCTTGGGGCACGCAGGGATGTGGGATGCAGGGAAGTTTCTGCTGTTAGAGCTGTGGGAGCCATGGTCCCAGCACCCAGCTCAAAGGGGTGGCTCCTTTTCACTGCTCTGTTCTACCCCTTCCTGCCCTGGCCGCAGTGCCCTGAGCAGCCTCACAGCCACATTGATGGTGTAAAGAGGAATTTAGAGATTTTTAATCTTTTTTTCCCTCCCTAGGACGTGAGCTCGGAGCTGTGTTTGGTCGTTGTAATTGCCAGTCAGGAGGCTGTCTGAGGCTGAAAGCTGGCAGCAGGCTCTAACCTCTAGATGTTGGGGCAAAAGCCAGAGCTGAGCCTGAATTCGTGGAGAAGGCAGGAAGAATTCAGGATTATCTTTGAGCTGCAGCAGCCTCCTTTCCTATACTCTTCTTCTGTAGCTATAAATAGGAGGAATGGTGTCCTAAGATCTTAGTCTGAATTTGGGGGCTTATGCACTGGAAAAAGATGTGGAAGTGGCACAGGATAGGGTTGGGGCAGACAAGGCTGTGATGCCATCATCTGCCTGCTGGCATCTCACTGCTCTCATGCCAACCTCTGTGGTGCTGCTGAACATATGAAGGCAGGGGAGAGGACCAACTCACTGGGTGGGAAGGCCCCCTGGAAGTAAGATTTTTTTGGGGTGCAAGGATTTCACTTGTTTTTTCTCTCTAGAGGAGCATCCCCCTCTCTTCTGCTGGTGCTGGGGTTGTGGGGCTTGTGGGTGGATGAAGACATGTCTGGGAGGTGTGAAGGAAATCAGCCTGAGGGCACTAATGAATGGCAAAAGCTGAGGCAGGAGGTTTCCACCTGCCAGAGCAGGTCTGGGGGTGGTGGAGCTGAGCAGCTTTCAGGAGATGCCACCGAGGGGTGGTCTTCACCACGTGGCTTTTGGCATGATTATCCCAGCTCCCAGCCGGAAGGGGCTGGACAGGGTTTGTACTGGGGGATCCAAGGGGATGCCCATGCTTGGAGAGGAGAGAGTTGGATGCTCATTGTGGCTTTGTGTCTTGTTTGGCATCTTTGGGTGCCTGTGCCATTGCCTTGGCTGACCAGTGCTCGAGGATTAAGTAGTTTGGGGGTTTTTATGGACTGTATCTTGCAAGGTCAAGTGGCCCAGGTAAGTGCTGCTTGTGGTACTTGTTTTCTGGCTGATCCTTTCCTGCAGACACAGCTTCCAGGTGAAGGTGCTGCTGGCACTTGGTTTGGCTGGGGGTGATTTTGAAGGTACAGTCCCTCATGTCAGCCCAGGCCACAGGGACCCGTCACTGGCATTTTGAAAGGGAGGAAAATGGATGTATGTTTACCTGGGGAAGCGTGGTGGGAAGCAGCCAAGTGTTGGATGTGCTGAAGGGTCTCTGTGTTGGTGCAGGGGCTGTGCCCGCTTGGAGTAGGAAGCAGTGGGAACTCCAGCTCGAGTGCTCAGTGCCACATTCTGAGCACTCTGAGCCAGGGCAGGGACAGTCTAAACTCCCAGTAAATGCAGCTTTGAGTGAGTTTGTGGAGCCACACAAAGCAGGAGGCTCTCACCAAGGGGAGCTATACAGGAGCAGTTCTCAACCTGTAGCACCCTGCTCAGAATGGTGATGCCTCCAGCCTGGCACCTTGCCTGCAGGCTTGCAGGGTCCTTGTACGTGTGCCTCTGGGTTCAACGAACCCTTTAAGATTTTGGAAGTGACACAGGAGATATAATTTCTTTAAAAGCCACCAACTTGCAAGGGCTTTGCTGTGCCCCTTGCCCAGAGCCACTGCTGGTGGTGCAGCTCTCCTCTCCTCTGATGTGTTGAGGCACTGCCTTCCAAGATACCCACTAGATTTGCAGGCTTCTCCTGAAGATGGCTGCGTTTCTGGGCCGGCAGAAGCTCCCTGGGATCCTCGTCAATAACCTGACAAATGCTGAGAAGGGGTGGGAGGGGAAGAGCAGCAGCAAAACAGGAGGGGAGGTGATGGCTGCATGGCTGGCTCCAGGGCCAGCACAGCAGCCATCTGCACTGAGGTAGGAAGGACAGAGGTTTGCATGGTCCCCAGGAGAGTGCCCAACCTTTGGCAAAGCAAATTTTAAGCTGCATGAGCCAAGTTTCCCCTGTGGTTTGAGGATTGCGTGGACAGGCAATGTCGTGAGCTACCCTCCTCCTTGATAGCTGGGTGGGAGCTCCCAAACATTTGCCATTTTCTTTATATATATAAATAGCTGGAAATTGCGTCTCAATCTTTACTGAGCTGGAAGTCGTCAGCAGCCCGTGGGCCAAGAAATGGCTTTGACTTTGGCATTGAGCCACCTTGACAGCCACGAGTGGGAAGTCTTTTTAGAGGCGTCGCAGGCTCAGAGACACGGAGCAGAGCCAGGAATATCACATTGGTGGGGCTGCGGGGGGAGAGGAAGGCAGCTCTGGAGCTAGGGGATGAGGCAGAGGAATGAAGAGGAGCTAAAGGTGGCCGTGCCCCTCCAGTGTGTGAGGGATTGTCATTTGTAACTGCCCCGCAGCGTTGGTGTGTGGGTAGAGCAGAGGCTTTGCCAGAATCCTCCCCCGCCCCCCCCGAAGGTTTCAGCATAAGACAGAGAAATGTTCATTAGCCAAAGTCAGCACCCTGCCAGCAACGAGGAAAGGAGGGAAAAACTAACCTAAAGAAAAGGAGATAATATAACCAACCCCCCAGCCAAGCCTGCTGCTGGTGAGGCTGGGGCTGAGGGCATGGGATGCAGCACATCCTCGACCATCCCATGCACAACTCCCAGGCTATGCCCTGGGGAGTGTTTCAGTGACCCAGTTTTTAATGTTTTTGAAAGAGTAAGGACTATAAAATACAGAGATATATGGGGGAATTGACATTGCTAGGACAACTTTCCACCCCTTGGGATTTTTGGACCTCCTGGTGCTTCGTGTTGTAGCTTCAGCTCTCTCTGGTCCCACTATAAAACCCCCCAGCCTCCTGGCATTTACTGGGGGAGAAAGATGAGGATGTGGGCGTGTTGGCCGTGGTAATGTCCTCACACCACACCTCTCTGTGGGGTAGGACCAGGTGAGCTTGTGAGTGTCCTCTGAACCCCTGTGTGCTTGCCCTCAGTGGTGCCACAGCACCCCAGGGACAGTAGGACAGCAGAGCTTGGAGGTCGGCCAGACCCCTTGCCCACCCAGTGCTGGATGACTCTTGAGCAATTGTTTCCCAAGAGCTGCATGTTCACACCCTGTTCATTATCCAGGGTGCTTGGCATGGATAGAGGCTTGGGCTTTTTTTTTTTTTCCCCCCAGAAGCCTTTAGTATATGCTCTTTGGTGGAGGATAGCCCCACATCTTGTGGGGTTTTTCCAGCTGTGACTGCTGGAAGTCATCTAGGCTGAGACCACCCTGGCTGGGGACCCGGGAGAAGCTGGGGCAGGGTCAGCTTCTGTGTGGGGACATGGGCAGCCAGCAGGGCTGCCGGGGCCCGGAGCTGGGGCTCTCCCTCCCACTCCTGCCCAGTGCTGATGTCTCCCATCTCATTTTCTGCCGCTCTCCCTGCCCGTGCTGCCAGGACCTGCCTTCCCTGCCCTCCAGCAGAGAGATGGTAGGCCTCCACCCTCCTGGCATGCCTGTGTGTCCCCCTTGCCTTCTCGTTTCACATGAGACCCCCCCCATCCCCGCATGGGGTGCCTTTGACCGTGTGTCTCCTCTCCCCACGCTGGCAGGATTCCAGTTCCCAGGACTCGAGCACCGAGATGGTAGGCTGCTCTGCCTGCTTGATGCCTGGTTTTTCCTTCTCCCAGTGGTGTTTTCCTGCATGCTCTGCTCTGGGCACCCAGGGTCCATCACCTCCGGGCTGTGGGTACCATGGGGGGCTGCTGTAACAAAGGGCAGCCCTGTAAGAAGATGCACTTCAGTGCTGCTGAGCTGTTCTTGAGGTGTGAGCTAGAACTCCTGTGTTTCTCTTGGCATGCCTTGGTTTTTCTTCCTTTTCTCTATCAGGGGGAGGGAAAAGGAAAAAAAAAAAGGTGAACTGTCTTTATCCAAAATCCCCCAAACTGATCCCAAAAGAAAGGGACCCATGCACACTTGCTGTAGAGCAGCAGGGTTAGCGTTGCTGGAGTGTTTACCCGGGGGAGGATCTGGAGGTGGGATGGGCTCCTCCGCCGTCGGGGTGACGCCGTCTCCCTGTATTCTGTGGCAGATGGTGGGGGGCTGTTGCTGCTGCCCATCGCTGGTAGAGTACCCGGGCCCCGAGGAGGTATGCAGCGCCCGCCGCGTCCCGACCCGCCCGCCGCTGGCTCTTGGCACCTTCTGGTCCTGGTCAGGGACTCCCAGTTGTGTCTGGATGGAGACACCCAGGGCGATGCAATGACTCCACAATCTCTTTCTCTTCCCTCTTTGAAGTGGGGTTTGGTCAGCTGGAGTAGAGAGTTTGCTTGGGGGTGTGGGCAGCAGCCTCTGCCCTGCATGGGAAAACAGAGTCTGGGATCTTTCCGAGCTGTGGATCCCCAGTTCCCCAGCCCCAGTGTCTGAGGGGCTGCAGTGAAACCCACCGAGGAGGGTTTGCCCCCTTCCAACTGCAGGGTCTCGTGCAGCTGAGCACTGTGACTTCAGGGCTCCCCATCACCCGTGGGCTGTGGTGGGAGTTGATCAGAGATGGACACATGCCAGTGTTGGCCACAGCATCCCTGCCAGGGTCTTGCTGGGAAACATCAGTTTTGAGCTGGGCTTTGCTGCGAGTGAAGTGGTGGGGAGCAGGGCTGGGGTTGGGTGATCTCCTGTCACCCCTACGATGACAAGTATCACTGCCCCAAGCCTGGCTCATTTTTTGTAGTTTAGGGCCACTGGGAGCCAGGTGTCAGATGGCTCCTTGGATGAGAAGCCTTTTGCTGTGGCAGTGGCTGGTTTTCTTTTCTCTCCTTTCCCCACCTCTTGCTGCTCTCTGCCCTGACGCTCTGCCTGGTCTCCATCCCCAGGTGAAGACTGAGATCAGTGTGGAGAGCAAGCACCAGACCCTGCAGGGCTTGGCCTTCCCCCTGCAACTGGATGCTCAGCAAGCCATCCAGGCACTCAAACAGAAGAAAATCAACTACATCCAGCTGGTAGGTCCCTTTTGTTCTCTTCCACTGCCCCTTCCTCTAGCTGCCACCTCTCCCTCCCTTCCACTCCCACATCCCCCTCTTGTCCATCAGAAGCTGGATCTGGAGCAGGAGACCATTGACCTGGTGCACACAAGCCCCACAGAGATTGCCGACCTGCCCAAGAGGATCCCCCAGGACTCAGCTCGCTACCATTTCTTCCTGTACAAGCACTCACATGAGGGAGACTACCTGGAGTCTGTTGGTGGGTGCCCTGGCACTAGGGACAGCTGGATAGAGCCCACACTGGTCCCTCTTCTCCCTGGACCATCATTTGCATGGGGAGCAAGCGGGAATGGGGATGAGGATGGTGTGGCAGGGGGCCCGGAGTCAGTTCCTACTTGCCATCTTCCCCTGGTGGGGGCTGACAAGCCGTTTGGTGCCAAAACAAGCTGCCATGCATAGTGCAGGGTTCTCAGGGTGCTGTTGCAGGGAGTTTGTGTGGGAGGTTTGGTGGCCATTGCATTGCAGGTGGACCAGGGGACATCTGGGGAGGAGCGATAGATGTGATGTCTCATCTTCTATCACTTTGTAGACTGGGATTTTCAGGGCTGGAAAAGCCATGACCAGGGTGGGATGTGGCTGCCTGGTGCTCCCTGGGCATGAGCCTGGGCAGTGGTGCAAGCCCCTCTCTCTTCTCACAGTCTTTATCTACTCCATGCCCGGGTACAAATGCAGCATCAAGGAGCGCATGCTCTACTCCAGCTGCAAGAGCCGATTGCTGGACACTGTGGAGCAGGAATTTTGCCTGGAGATAGCAAAGAAGGTAGGTGTGAGCCCACCCAGAGGTAATGGAGCAGAGACACATGCTGGGCATCTGCAAAGGTCTGTGCCACAGCCTTGGTCCAGCCCCACCAGTGGGCGCAGGGGGGAGTTGGGTGCCCCAAAGAGGGTGTCAAGACCCCAGGGAGCTGCTAACCCCCCACCTGCTGCTCCCGGGCACAGATCGAGATCGATGACGGGGCCGAGCTGACGGCAGAGTTCCTCTACGAGGAGGTGCACCCCAAGCAACATGCCTTCAAGCAGGCCTTCGCCAAGCCCAAGGGGCCCGTGGGCAAACGGGGACAGAAGCGGCTGATCAAGGGGCCGGGCGAGAACGGCGAGGACAGTTAGATCCTGCAGCCCCGGGCGCTGAACCAGCAGTGTCCCCGCGGCGCTGCCCGCCCTCCTCTCTGCTGACCTGGGGATCTTTCCCTCCATCTCAGCCTATTCTTTTTTTTTTTTTTTTTTTCCTTCTTTTTTTCCTATTTCATTCCTTTTTTTAAACATCAGGATGCTTGTTGCACCCTGGGGCAGAGGGATGGGGAGGGTTTGGGGTATTTGGTCTTTCTTTTCCCTGCATCCTTATGCAAGCCCTGGGGATGAGAGCAGCAGGGTTGTGTCCCCCAGCCTTGCCTCTGCTCCCCTCGGGGTCACAGCCACTGCTCTCAGTGTCCCTGGATGACTGAAGGACACGCCTGCAAGCTGCTCTATGCAAAGGGAAGGGGGTGGCACTGGGAATTCCTGTTTGAAAAGAGAAAATGCTTCTTTCCCTGCTCCCTCAGCCCCCAGATTTTGCTCCCCCCTGTCCTGCTCTGGGTGTGCAGGGCCCCTCTGCCCCAGGGCTGGAGTGATACTGCACCCCCCAGGGTGCGGGCAGGACCCCTCCCTGCAGGGTGGGCTTTGCTGGCAGGAGTTTGTCCCTGGAGTGAACTAGCCAGCTGGAGGAGGAAGTTTTTCACCCCCCCCCCCTCCCCCCAGTCCTGAGCTTCTTCTGGCCCTGGAGGAAGGTCCCTCTGCCTTTG